GCAATTTGGTTTCAAGTAGAACATAAGGTTGACGGAAACCCGGGGACTACGCCTACCTGATGAGCCCCAAGAAGGGCGAAACCGGTCATGGGCTGCCGACGAATTTTCAGCACACTTATGAGTAGTGCGTTACGAATATATACTACAACTCGTTCAGCTGTAGTTAAGCCGCGCCGTTGGACCGACTCCATATGGGATGCTCGGCAGATGACGTGAAACAACTCGTTCGGAATTATGATGTGATCAAAGTCATTTTTGTGTTGGGCGATCAGGCTTTTGGTTGAATCCGGTGATGTTGCGGCCACAGAGGTGTTCCTAGCATGTTGCCTTGTCGCGCGCCCCTAACAAATTCCGTAGGACAGCCGTCTTCTGAGTGAGAACGGTCTCCTGTTTAGATACTCTGGGAAAAAACGGATGCTTTTTCTTCGGGAGTAGTGAGCAACCACAAATATCTATTCCTGAACTGTTTCTGGCCTCGGACATGATACGTAGAAAGTTGCAGACATCGTTTTCTATCATGCTGACCTGTTCGTTTAACAAAATGTCATCAAATGCGTGTTTTTGAACGTTTCCCAGCTAAAGGGATGAGAACCGATTTTCCATACTTTGATCCAGTTTGCCAGTCCTTGCCTTTTCACACCGAACAACACCACAATCTGTGTTAAACCATCAAACGCCTGTCACACTGGTGAGAGATGGCTAAGTGGTTGGAGCGCGAACTTACTGATCGGAAGGTCGAATCCGACCTTTTCCTCTCGACTTCTCCTGTCCAGGCTTGGACAGGGACCGGCAGTACCCCAGACGTTGCGCTTCTTTTGGGTGGTATGGCATCTGGGTACCGAAAGGGTGCTACAGTTGAGTGATTCCATATTTGTGTGCGAAACCAAATTAGTTTTCATAAGAGTGCATTTCCTGAACTTTGTCTTATTCGGTTTGAGATAGGACAAAGGAAACTCGGGCACTGCGTCAATCGTTGATAACTAAAAACGGCGAAAACGGTCATGACCTGGTGCAGAGTTTTCAGCACATTTTTGAGCAAAACGTTCCATCTGAACTCCAACACTTACGAGAACCAATCAAATAAAATGAGATATCATAGTTCCTTAAATGATCAGCACTTTCAAAAAACCGTGTTAGGACGCAGTAATCGCTTGGTTTACAATCAACCGAAAGCAAATTGGTTTACAAACAATCAACCGAAAGCAAATTTAATCGATTTCATTTGATTCTACTCGGGCCACGAGGCCGAATGAAACGTGCTGAGCGATATTAGGGTTGACCGCGTGCAAGTTGAAACTTCAGATGATTCCACACTTTTGAGCAGCCTGGCGAAGTTCTCCTTTCCACAGCCAACTACACATTAACCAACTAGACCCTGTGACCAATCCAGATAGTCTTTTGCGTTATCTGGTAAAGTAGACAACACTCACACCTCAAATCTTCCTAGCTCACCTTCGTTCTGATTGGCCAATTCGTTTTCCCTATCTACGCACTAGTAGACATTAGCCAATCACGACGTAGGATGTGAAATCTTATCGCCACATAACTGTAGTTGAACTTGTTGATTTAGAATGACCTAGTTTCAGTGCTCTTGAATAGAAACAGAGATAGTGGCGTCTTGTTTGTTCGGCATTAGAACTTGCGTCGACGTCAAAGGTTTCGTTTGGTCAGATGTTCGCATTACTACTTTATGCTACATTGACTAAATCGCAAAGCCCGAGGTTTGCATGGGTTTACAGAAACCGAATTATGCTAATGCTGGTCCTTTCCCTTTCCAGCAAACTTCTGGTGTGCACATGTTACGATCTGAGCGAGCCCCGTGGCTGATCGGATGTCTAGCCTTTTGCGTCCTCGTTCATCGTCCGCCTGTGGAATCACTACCAGTTAGTTCGTCACGCAAACCTGATGCAGGGAGTTCGAATGGCTCTTTGCCCATCGGACTGAAGCTACAAAACCTGCATATCTTATTCCGCCACGGTGATCGCACCCCATCGAAGCCGATGTTGAAAGACACCGGGCCTTTTGAAGACACTTGGCCACTTGGTCGTGGTCAGCTGACCGAAGAAGGAGTATTGCAAGAATTCGAACTTGGACTATGGCTGCGCAAAGAATACAACGGTTTTATACACCAAAAATACAACGCTTCAAACTTTTACTTGCGGAGCACCGATTATGACAGGACACTCATGTCTGCGCAGGCGATGGCTGCAGGGCTCTATAAGGATGTCTCGTCACCATTGGAATCTTACGGAATCGCGTGGATGCCGATTCCCTTGCACACAGTTCGGAAGGTGGGCTGACGTCTGTCCGTTTGTTTCACCAATTTTCTGGGATTCATTTACACAAACCACCACCTACCCACCTGTTTGTTTACCTAGTGACTACTGATTCATTCCGACAAATCTGTTCGGATACTTGATGTCACACGATTCAAGTATGGTCAATCTGCCTTAATTTAGTTCCTTCAATAAACGACGTCCTTTACGAAGTTTTCCCCAATATGGCAGCAAAAAACTGCTGAGAGACAAGCATACAGGAAATGTTCATTCTTACTCTATGCTTAGCTAATGCACTCAATTTCTGTTCTATATTATCCTTACCATAAAACTCATTTACATCAGGGGTGTGTACGAGAAACGTCAGACATTAAAAAAACACATTGTAGCTAACTGTTCCAATCAAATTAACCGGTTTTCGACAAAAAAATCGTCTGCCGTACAACCTTAGGCAAATATGCATGCGACACCCTAAGAGATTTTAAATTTTCCGGTGAAAAACTGGGGAAGCGGCAAAGGAATTTATCGACGATGTCCAAGTGGAAAGCTTCCGGTTTATCAATATTGCCTGTTGCTTAGTTTTATTCAGTAAATGAGGTGAACTTCATCTGGGAGTGGAGTAGTGCAGTGCCAGATTCGCCCATAGTGTAGCTACCCCAGGTAAACCTCGGAAAAAATATTGCAACTCAAAGTAGACCAATAAAGTCAAGTTCGGTGGACTCAAGTTGATTACTACGCAGCACAAAACAGCAACCGCTCGTGATTCCCTCATATTCAATCGCTGCGACACCCAATGTCCAACCGACGACCCCCTGATGATAATTGTTCAGTCTGATGAAGTCGGGCTTGAATCGGAAACAGCTCGTCACACCGGGTCCTCAATTTAAACCAGACGGATAGTTTATTTGCACACTGTCCCAAAGTCCGTTGGTGGTATAACACACTGACTACGACTGATTGTTCCTCTGGATTGATCATGTAACGTATTGATTTTTCAATGTGATCATGTTTGTGTTTGATGCTAGTACCACGCCCTGCGACACCAACGTCGAACAAACAGCTTTACTAAACGTTCGACAACCGACGGCCCCCTGATGATAACTGTTCAGTCTGATGAAGTCGAGCTTGAATCGGAAACAGCTCGCCACACCGGGTCATCAATTTAAGCCAGACGGATAGTTTAGTTGCACACTGTCCCAATGTCCGTTGGTGGTATAACACACTGACTACGACTAATTGTTCCTCTGGATTGATCATGTAACGTATTGATTTTTCAATGTGATCATGTTTGTGTTTGATGCTAGTACCACGCCTGGCAGGATTAATCTCAAGCCTGTACTATTTTCCGCTTTCACAGAACAGAGAGACTCTTTTCAGTTATTCCTCGACCTGCCATCATTTAGCGTTGTTGAAGAAAACGGCGTTGACTTCGAAAAAAGCAGACGAATATACCGAATCACACAGAACACTATTTGACTTCATCAACAAGAATTCAGTGACGGAAAAAATCGATCGGTTTAATTTATGGAAGATTTATGATTTGTTTCTATGCATGAGAGCCCACAGAATCGCACTTCCCAGTTGGTGTACAGAAGAGATTTTCCATGAAATCGAACAAGTTGCTCAATTCTTCTGGCTGGTGAGTGTGATTCAGACACTATTTCTCCTTGATATGCATGAATGTTACTACTAAAAAATGTTGACATGAAAATTTTGAAACTAGAAATTGCGAACGTTAGAGTGTGACTTTATGTGCATTCGAGTGATCTGGGAAGGTGTTACACATATCAGACCAGGGGGTAAAAATAAAGAGGCCTGTTAGGATCCGTCAGCCAGCTCAAGCATGATGGAATAGAATTGAACACAGGAACTATTTTGACACACAAAGACACTGGCCTCATCCGTCAGTTTTCTGAAGTTCCGGTGGGATAGCGCACACTCTCCTCAAATAAATTACCATACTCATGTCCTCCGGAGAATGTTCATCAAGGCGCTGTTTAAGTTGGAATAGATAGTCTGTCAGTCACATCAACAACCAGTGTCTGACTTCCAAAGGAATTTCGTCCAATGAAACACCTTCCTCACGTCTGGATGTTCCATGCACATTGTACTGATTAAACATATATGAAAGGTATTCAGATAACACGCGTGCACAACGCAGGGTGAATAGTTCTAACGCTCACTACAGTAGTCAAGTGCCGTCATACAGAAGTAAGCAAACGCTCATCAGATGCTAGTAAAACGGAACCATATTTTCTCCGTTTATCCGGCTTCTTAACAGTGCTCTTGTCCATACAGGTACAGTCCAACAGCACCGAGGAACTACTCCGGATGGGAATTGGCGTATTTCTGAACACCTTCGTTCAGCATCTCAGATCCATCGCAACTTGTGGTAAACCAATTGTCATAAATGGGCGTCAATTGGGTTTGAAGCATACGGTAGCCTACTCGGCCCATGACACACATGTCAGTTATTTGCTAGGCGCTTTTGGAGCACTGATGCAGGGCGAAATTCCGTATTCATCGGCAGTAATTTTGGAATTACTCGGACCAGATAGGCCTTCGTCCCTTGAGAATTATCGCCTTCGCCTACGTTTCAAGCAAGGATATGCGGACGAGGTAGGTGAATATAGGAGCGTTAGGCCGTGTGCGGATCAACCCGGAGCAGATGGGTGCCCTCTGAACTTGGTTGTGAAACACCTCAAGCCCTACCTACTGGATGCCGATAAGTATTCTGAGTTGTGCTCCGGACAGCCTCACATTGGCGTTTAAATTCTGTTGCACCTGAAGACTAATCTTTGTGGGTTGTATGGTAATACACCAGAGGTGATATTTTCCATTCTCTTCCTGGTCGTAGCTTGCCCTCCTCTGCTGTTTGAAAGTATCGCCACGTGCTGTATATTCCAAAAGATAACTTCCGTTGTACAGTGGATTGAAATGCACTTTTGTCATTTGCGTGTATTGTTTTGGGAATTTGTGCAAGAGATCGCATGTTGGATACCTGCATCGCAGAGGCATACGAAACAAATGAGTATTGCTCAATTGTCAAACCAAAAGAGTAAAAGTAAATGAAAGAAATTTGAAAAAGACAATTGTTGAGGTTCTCGATACGGAAATTTGAGTGACGCGTACGTTCGACAATCCCGAGTAGCAAAAGGAAGAATTGGGTTCGTAATTCTACGGTACTGTTTACACAAGGCTAAGCGAATGTGTACAACAAACCTCGACTGTTCACGTTCGTAGCGTCAACAAGTTCACAGATCTATCACTGACCGGCACAGTGCAGTGTCACCGTCCGCACACCAAACAACGGCGGGCGGAATGATGGCTCAGTGGTGTGGGTTGCGGTCGTC